AGAATCATAGAATCACAGAATGGTTTGGGTTGGAAGAGACCTTAAAGACCATCTTGTTCCAACCCCCTGCCACAGGCAGGGACACCTTCCACTAAACCAGGCTGTTCAAAGCCCTGTCCAACCTGGCCTTGAACCCTGCCATGGAGGGGGCCCAACCTGGCCTTGAAAACTGCCAGGGATGGGGCAGCCACAGCTTCTCTGTGCAACCTCTGCCAGTCTCACCACCTTCATAGTGAAGAATTTCTTCCTAATGTCTAATCTAAATCTACCCTCTGTCAGTTTAAAGCCATTCCACCCTACATGCCTTTGTAAAAAGTCCCATTCCAAATTTCTGCTAGCCCCCTTTTAGTATTCCATGATCAGGGACTGTAAGCTGCTAGTTATATTTTGTCTTTCTCTTTTAAGAAAGCAAATCATACACCCTCCAAAACCAGCACAAATGTGTATCAGCAGTGAAGCTGATAGGAATCAAAATTCTTGGCTGTTCTTGAACAAAGTGCTGTCTGTTTGGAAACCTGTTTAACATCCCCTCTCAAACATCAGTGTGCATTATTGCTATTCCATCTGTGAGATAAATAACCCTCTCATGATAAAGTTATTTTCATAATAGTGAGGCAGGATATGACTATATAATGCATGATATTTGTCTTTCCTTGATCCCTCTTGTTGCTGAGAGTTTAGGCTCGCCACACCTGTGATCACTGTAAATAGCTGCAGTCATTGGAGCACAGTTTATTTTGTGGATGAGGCTGGAAAAGTGCTGTTTAACCTGCTGCGCTCACTTTTTATTATATGCATATGCTTGTATGGTTCCCAGCACAAAATTTGGCCATCATTGAAAATACCTTTTGGCATACATCAGTTATAAATAAGCCAGTAGAAACTTGCCCTTAGCTTTGGCTGAACAGTAACTCAGTCTTGTCTGGACTCCATTTTTGGTGAAGTGGAAGGAAAAATCTCAGTTCTTTTTTGAGCCAACTCATTAAAAAAAAGTTTCTTCCTTTAGCATACGATTTTTAAAAGCAACTGAGAACTTATACTAAATCAATTACAGTTTTAGAGTAGGCTTATAACTAATTAATAAATATTTGGTGAAGGAAAACACAAACGTTACTTCCACAGGTGACTGTATACTTGGGAACTACAGTAGTCATGTAGCCAGAATGTGTCTTGGAAATTAATAAACCTTTTTCAAGTTTCTCTTTATTCCAAAAAAATCAGCTTTTGAGCCAGTGGTACCAAGCTTGTCAATTGCCAGTCTGTGACTTCATCTTGCGAAAATGGTGCTCTTGAGAGATATCAGCAAAGAGATTTGCATCCAGCAATAGTGTGTATCTATCTTATTTGTAGCATTTCATCTGCCATGATCACATTGAAAACCCAAACTGGATTTTAAGATCTTTTTTTCTGCATAGCAGTTTAGAAAGATACACCCACCCCCTACATTTCACCAGACAGGTTCTATTAATAAACTGAATCAAGCTGCAATAGATTCAATAAATTAACCATACAGAAAAAAAAATTGAGATGATTATTTTTCAGTCAGTCTTTCAATGCATCAGGAAATATGGTGCAGTTGTTCCAGCCACAGACACATACTATTTTTTTAATCTTTTTTTTTTTGTAGCACATACACATTACAATAAGAGGATAATGTTTTGTCATTGGTATATTTGGGGAAATGGGTGTTATGCAGGTAGGATTATATGTTTTAAGAAAGGAGTCTCAGACATTACTGCAGGAAATTAATTAGGCTAAACTCATTATTTGGTTTACTGATTATGATGACTAGGAATTAACTTGACTTACTCCTTATCTGTATAGCTAGAAACACAAGTCTCTCATTTTTTCCTGTCAACTATTCCTTCTTATCAGAACAGGCCTGCCTCTTGGGTGGATGTTATCTTAATTGGAATCTTCAAAGTTCATGTCATCTCCTCCCTGTTTTGCCCCTTGGTGGTCTTTAGCCACTATTATGCTGCAGATCAGAAATTCCTATCTTTTCTTGTCCTTACCAAATCCGTCACTTTCTTCCTCTTGTAATGCCTTTCATCTCTGCTGTCTTCGGTATCTAGTTGAAGATGGGAGTGATGTTTCTGTGCCAAGAGCAATTACATTCCTTTTATTTGTACTCCTTCAGCAACTTTCCATCCTGTGTCTTTGTGCTTTACCAATACTGTCCAGAAAGGGATCTGTGCAAGCTCTATAACCCTGTGCATGTCTATACCTACCTGGAATCTTCATGCTCATTTTCCTCTCCTGTGGTTTGTGGTAACTTCTTCTATGGCCTCTAGGTCTGCTCTTTCAGATTGCAGAACATAAAGTGCTGTTGCCATCTTCTTACAAATGCAAAGATGTTTTATTGTGTTAGTGCTGAATGAGCTTGCTCTCATTTCACATCCAAGTCAAACTTGCCATGTTTGTTTTTATAACAAACAAACAAAAAAAGTTTGGATTTTTGTCTTGTTCTTTTCTCTCTTCTTAGTGACTCCTCCTCTATTTATCCCTGCCCACCTCTCCCACCCTTTAATCAGTCTTCCCTGTGTTCCAGAACCTTCCTGGGCTGCTTTTCAGCTTATTGCTCCTGTCATGTCAGTGATACCCTCCCTTTCTCATATATTTATTTTCTCACATTGTCTGCATGGCAAAAATCAGTAGCAGCAGCTTATACGAAATGGAAATACAGGTCTGATCTTTGAAATTAATAAAATTGCCACTAACCTATGCATTATCAGTATAATGCTGCAATTGTGTTAATACTAGGATTTTCTATCTTGTTAGTACTGATTATGGTATATACGGTGTTGATACTAATAACTTACAAGCTCTGATTAGTTCCTTGGATCATCTGTTATTCAAAGTGACCTATTGAGGACTAGCAGTTGATGTGATACAGGATCTCATCTTTGAATCCATAGCTGAAATCAGTTAAATAAAGATTAAAAAAGATATTTTAGTATGTGTTGTTTTAATACAGTTGCTCTCATTACTCTAAAAAGAGAGATGGCTTGCATGATTGCAGTTTGGAAAAAAATAATCTGACAGTACATGTCACCAAAACTTTGGATGAAAAATAAACCTTTCTTCAGACTGTTTTTTGATATGATGATATGCACATTATCACCATGTACCCGTTAACAGATGTAGCCTTTCCAGTTTGCAGTGTTTCCATTTATTTTGTTTCCAGTATATTTTATAATATGCCATGCTGAATATGCCACAAAGTGGTGTTGTTAAACAGCGCTACTGCTGTGCTGTGTGCTGAAGAGTCGTATTATGTGCCTTCTGAATAACTCTTGGCAGGCAACTTGTCTCATGTGGAGGCACACTGGTCTACAACAGACTTGTGCTGAACCTGCTGAAAGGATACGCTAATGCTGACATTCAAGTTGAGCTGACCGAGTCCTTTGAAAATGCTATCTCTTCTTCTCAATTTGACCTCCAAAGTTTCATCACAAAGAGTAGTAGCTTAAGCAATGACCTATAAAACAAAGATGTGAAAAGCATATAAAGGATTTGCTGACGATATGGAGCTGATGTGAGGGGCTGATATACCTGAAGTATCTGAAGTGCTGCCATTCCACAGGACCTTGATAGGCTGGAGAATTGGGCAGAGAGAAACCTAGTGAGATTCAACAAGGGCATGTGTAGGGTACAGCAGCTGGGGAGGAAGAACCCCAAGTGCCAGTACAGGTTGGGGCTGATGTACTAGAGAGTAGTTCAGCTGAGAAGGACCTGACAGTATTGGTGGATGATAAGCTGACTATGAGCTGGCAGTGTGCCTTTGCAGTCAGGAGGCCAAGAGTATCCTGGAGTGCACTGAGAGGAGTGTGGCCAGCAGGTTGAGGGAGGTGATCCTCCCAGTCTACCCAATCCTTATGAAGCCACATCTGGAATACTGTGTCCAGTTCTGGGCTCCTCAGTACAAGAAAGAAAATGAGCTGCTAGAGAGGGTCCAGTGGAGCGCCACAAGGATGATTAGGAGTCTGGAGCATCTCTCTTATGAGCAGAGACTCCAGGAGCTGAGACGGTTTAGTCTAGAGGAGAGAAGACTGAGAGGAAATCTCATTAATACATATAAATATCTCAAAAGCGGGTGCCAGGAGGATGGTGCCAGACTCTTTTCAGTGGTGCCCAGCAACAGGACAAGGAGTAGCGGCCATAAACTAAACCCCAAGAAATATCACTTCAATGTGAGGAAGAACTTCTTACATTGAGGGTGGCAGAGCACTGGAACAGGCTGCCCGGGAGGGTTGTGGAGTCTCCCTCTCTAGAGATATTTAAACCCTGTCTGGATGCATTCCTGTATAACCTGCTCTAGGTGGCCCTGCCTTGGCAGGGGGATTGGACTAGGTGATTGCCAGAGTTCCCTTCCAACCCTAATGATTCTATGGTTTTGCTGATAAACCTGTTAGTAGGCACTTTTTTTGCAGTTGCTAGTACAGAATGATGTGTCTTCAATCTGTGACACATGAAATGTTGGATAAATTTGTATTTCCTTCTGTGGAAATACATAATAAAATCTGCCTCTTCTGGGAAACCATTCATTCCAGAAAATCCAGAGGGGGAGTATTTTTAGAAGGTGAGAAAATATTTTGGGTTCCATACAGAGTGAATAATGAGTAACTCAGTCAAGTGTAAATGACTTAAAAGAAAAATGTCAAGATAAGCTACCAGGTAAATTTTTTTCTGTTAGACAGTAAATCAGCAAGGTACATGCCAAAGATAAACTTTCATTTCAAAATTACTCCAAATCAGGATCTTAAAAATTTTGCCTTGGGAATCTATACATATAGTTCTGGACTGTAGATTTTAAAAAAAATATGCTGCAAGTATTCCCTCACTGGTCTACCTTTGTTCTGTTTTACTTCTGTTTGGATATGTTGTCATCACTCTTAATCTGGTGAAGTCATTTTTGAAATCTTGGTTTAAAATTAGGTATTTTACAATCCCATGTATCATCATAAATCCTGAATGTTTGGTTTTATGTTTCATTGCAGCAGAAAACAGATGTGCCACTTCAAATGCAGTAACATGTACAAAGTGCCTTGCTTTGGGTCCAGAGTGCGGGTGGTGTGCTCAAGAGGTATGGCGTTTTGTTTATTTACATTTGACTTTATAATTTAGCTGTTTCTGATGTTCATAAAGATAAAAGACTTCTAAACTGTGAAAATTATAGTGAGAAATAGCAAGAAAATCTTTAAACAACCCCTGGAGTCAGAACCTGAGCAATCATGTGAAATATACTTTGTTTCCAAAGGAGAAAATACAATCTTTTATTTGGAAAATTGCAGTAATTTTAAATAAAGTGAGAACTTTTTAATGCATTCCATCTGCTTTGTAGACAGCCTTGGCAGACTTATAGTAGCTTTGAGAGTTCAGCGTCTTTTGGCTTCAAAAGCAAAATTACTTATCAGTAATTTATATTAAGTCCTCATGCATCAAAGCAAGTCTACACGTATGCCTGTTGCATTTAGCAAAAGGTTTTACTAACAGTGGAGTTAACTTTGACTTCACCATATATTATGACCCTGTCACAAATGGAAAAAAAATATACTTTCTTATTTTGACATTAGAAACTATCAGTTCTGAGACTTACCACAGAAGGTAAGATCTTAAGTAGCAAGGATTATCTTGAAATTGTTATTGCTTTGCAAACTATAAGAATATGGGAATCTCAGGTTTTGTCTGACAGAAAAAAAACCCAGTTGAGTACATTATTTTGAGTAAGGCTGATCGATTTTAGGCACTTCAGAGAACAAGGTTTTGAAGACTATCACTGACAATTCCAAGCTTATATGCTCTTGAAGGTCACATGCAAATTATCTGTAGTAACTTTCAGATTAGCAGAGAAGGTAAATATCGCCTAGAGGTGATAAGAAGTGTAAGGCACTGGTGTAACTTTATCTGAGATACTGTGTTTTGGAATTACTAACTTAGTCTGCAACTAGTCTTAAGGATAAGTAATGCAAGGACGAATAGAGGGCATCAAGGTCTCGTTTTCCAAGAAGAGCCTTAGGGCATCTGTAGGGGGCACAATGGATTATAACGTGGAGCAGTCCATTATTATGGCCTCATATTCTATTTTACAAAGGGCACGGTTTTATCCTGCTACATCTCTTATTTATCACGGAACAGCCCTTGCTAGCTTTCCAGTACTATGGAGCTGCAGTAGGTCTCCTTTCAACATGGTGCTGAGATTTGACTGGGTTTCACTTCTGCTCTGCTTCTCTTGCTTCACTTCTCATGTCAGTCCTGAGAGCTGTTCATGGGAGTCAGGGATTTGTCAAACCCTCTTAGACCATACTTTGATAGCCAGTTCACGTACCAACATCCATGGCTGTGGAATGCCAAAAGCCGTACTAATGCAGATCAAAATTTTCCGGAGTAAAGTTACAGGAGCAGATTTCGACTTAGCATGCTTACTTCTTTTAAACAATGTTTTTAATGAGAAAATCAGCCCTGGGGAACACTTAAGATTCTTTGACTTCATACCCCACACAATGAACTGCAGAAAATGCAACACATCAGTCACTTGTGGTAACAGTGAGAGCAGCTAAAGTCTTTATACATTTAAAAATCTACCTTTTTGAAACATTCATACATCATACCAGAGTATATAAATAGCAGTTAGTTAAAAAGCTAGTCTCTGTTATCTACATTAAAGAAGAGTCTGTAACTCTATGTTAAAGAAAAAATATATCAGAGGTCAACTACAAAAATGAGTTGGAACTTGGAAAACAAGATATATGACAGTTGAGTCTCAGTCTTCAGGGGCTTTCTCTGGTCTTTTCAGGGTCTGGATGACCATTCATTCTCTAATACACAGTTGGCTGTATGCGCTTTTTGATTGTTTATTTTGCCCATTTGCCTCTGAAATATCAGAGATTGTCCATTGTTTGCTCTCCAGCTGTGGCTGGGATGGACTGATGCTTTGAAAGAGTACGAAGGATCTTGTCTTTTTTTTTTTTGTTCCTTTCAGGATCATGTCATGTTAATCATCAGATTTGTGGTCAGGAAGGAATTTTGCATTGGATCATGCTGGCACAATTTTGGCAAATTTGCCCTTTCACTGCAACAAAGCATATGCTGCTTCTGAGATCATCCTACTACTAATCACTCTAATCACTTTCCTGTTGTTATAGGGGCATCTTAAACTGTCCAGTCCTGTACTATATAGCTTCCTATTTCTGGGGATTGAAATGATATAGTCCAGCTGGTCCTTGGTTTTGGTGTAGGGTATGGGTTAAAACATCTGTGATAGACAAATTCAGGTTAGCTATATCTAAAGCTATCTTCTGCTGCTACTTTTAAATATTAGCCTGAGTAATATTACTAATGGATTCCTCTGAAAACTAATCTGTGTTGATGTCGTGTGAATGACACTTTCTTGCTATAACTAGCTCATAGCATAGCACAGAACATTTTTTAGTGACATGGTGACAGTACAGTTTCCTTTTTCTCCAAAGTCAGCTTGTTCTGATTGTGCAAGATCCTCTTTCTCATACAAAAGTTTTGTCCTTTGTAGAAAAAATTTATTGTGGCAATTAGGTTTAACTTCTAATTTAAATATTTTGTCATTGCCCTTATTAAAAACATATGGCTTTCATGAGCCTGTTCTACTATTTATGCAATTATGGTAGCATTTTTTATTGTTTCAAAGACTATTATTTTGTTTTCCTTTGAAGATATTACAGTTGGTTTTTCAGTTCTGATTGTTTTGTACTTTTTGTCTCTTATTAAACAGGATTTCATGGCCGACGCAACACAGAAGGGACGCTGTGACACTATTTTCAACTTAATGAAAAGAGGCTGCCAATCAGATTTTGTAGAAAATCCCACAGTTCATGTCACAGTGCCCAGTGACCATGAAAAAAATACACAAGTGACACCTGGAAAAGTTTCAGTCCAGCTGCGTCCAGGTTGGGTTGTTTCTAACACATTGATAACACATAGTCAATTTAAACTAAATACAATAATATTAAGTACAGATATTTTGTGAAGAAGTGGCTGGAATAATTATTTTGAAGAACAGTGCTGTAATATTATCTTGTAGGACTGTGATGGTGTTGCTCTTATATTCAGGTACTGTCTTCAGCAAGAAGTGTTTCTGTCAAATACTGCTGAAGGTCAGAATAATGCAAGCAATAAGTGGAAAAAAGATTTTAGGTAGTCTTTTCTGTTTTCTGTTGTGGTTTCTTGATTTTTTTCTTTAGCAACTTCACAAATAGTTTTCCCTTACATGCATATAATACAGTATAAACTGTATTCCTTACTGAAAACAAATTGAGTTAGAATTCCTAAATTCATCATTTGATAATTGTCATACACTCTCTATAGGTATATCTATATGTATACACTACATGTCATACAAATATCTTATTTGGTTACTTTTAAGTGAATTGACTAGACAACTACAAAAACATCAAAGCCAACATATAAGAATGGACTGGATTCCTAAAGGAGACTTAGGTATTCACTGCCTAACATTTCATTTATAAAATGTGAGACATCTGGCTCTAATAGATTCTACAAGTCCCTTTATGGATCTGAGATTTTCTATTTGCCCTTAGCTGAACTCAAGTTAAATCAATGTATGTTCTCTGCCTCTAAAATAGTTGTAGCCAACAGCAGAAGTGGAAGGTGATATGGAGGGATGCAGGGTATGTTTCATATCAGAAAATTTATTTACTTTGGCAAATGAGAGTTGGAGAAAGAAATACATCTTTTACAAGGGATCAGTCTTTGGTAGAAAAACATTAAGTGAACAGCAAGTATCTTGCTGATCTTCACTGTATAAAAGATAATTTTCTGTCAGTTACAGGAAGGATCTGCATGAGTGTAAAGCACAAAGGAACTCTGATTTACCATCTTTATAATAATAAAACTGAGAAAGTAACTTGAGCACTTCCTCTCCTTTCCCCGCTGTCCTTCCAAAGAAATGACCAATACTCTGCTTTATACTGAGAAATGGTGTCAGGAACTGAGCTAGCTCTAGGTGTGTCTGTAATCACATTTATTTTCAAAAGCATACTGGATTAACAGAAAAAAAATTAGTTTTATGAAATTTGGTTTAATGAACCTTTTTGCCAGTAAACAGTGAAATTAAGTTTGGGGTTCCATATGCTTTGCAGAAGTTCTTCATCAGGGAGGCAGAAGACTAAAATTCCAAGGGCTCTAGAAGTATAACTTTTGACATAGAGACATCTTGCCCGTATTTTATAGTCCAGGGAAATACACAGACATAGAGCTGTAGTTACGCCTCAAAACAGAAATTTGATACAATATAATCATGCAGGCAGAGATGTTCTTGTTTTGATACTGGAGGGTTTTGTCACTGTTTAAATACACTCAACTGTCAGGATTTACATGGGAAAAAAATAAAAGCTGCACTCAGCATCTCACTATATGCAAACCAGAGACCACAAAGGTCATTTACAAAAAGTAGTTCCATTTATATTGACAAAGAGGAAACACACAAGTTACAGCACACTGAAATTCTTTTTTTCTTGCAAGACCTTATACAGACAAATCCAGATATTTTCAGGTGAATTATGTTCAGATCATTGAAAGAAAGTACTTTGCATGTTTAACTTTTCTGGGTCAGATCTTTGTTGCATGTACTTAAATTATGCTATCTAGCAATGTCATATACACTGGTAAATGTCATAAGTAGAGAAGTCACATTTCAGAGAAGGCACATGTCAGTGTTCAGGTAGCTTCTACTGAAAATGTGTAATTCTTCTATAATGTCTCCCTTTCTCCTGTTCTTTGCTGTATCTTCATTGCATAATACTCAGATTCTGCACTCATCTTGCAAAGATCGTACTCCCTCATTTCTTCTGTGAGTTCACACTTTGGGTGACATGAAATAATGAACAATTTCAAGTCATGCATTACTGTACCTACACTGCCATTCTCCAGTCACTTCACTCTTTTTGCTGGCATTACATAATATTACGCAAGCAAAAATGTGGGGACTATTTTTAGTGACTTCCAAAGCATTAACATTTTAGTACAAGAATGTGATGTGGTTCTGCAGAAGAGATGATAGGCATTTGTCATCCTAGATAAAAGAAGAGTTCTGTTTTGTAGACACCAAAAGATGGATTTTTTTTATATCTTTTTTTTTAAAATATCTTTTTTATATCTTTTTTTTAAAAAATATGCTGAATTTTCTCATCAAATCTTTGGAAGTAGATTGGTATAAACTTGAAGCATAATTTACTTGAGATTTTCAGACTGTGCTGTCTTTATGGTACACATGTAGTTTTAGACTTAGATGAGAGACGATTTGCAGGATGCACGTTCATACTTAAAAGTATCAACCTTGAAGTGATTGACCACAGTTCGTATGCAGATCTGTGCCCTTTGTGAGTCATAACTGCTTTTTGGAGCAATACCAGAGGGATTGCATAACCATGAATTTAAAAGAAAATAAGAAAATAGGGAAAAGTCAGATTTTTACAATAAATTACTCCTGCAAGGGTGGGGGGGGAAGCAACATGTTCTACAAAGAGCCCCTTTATGGGTTAGTTTTGAATGATGCTTCAAGGTTTCATTTTCTCTTGAGAGGTTTTCTTGTTTGTTTGTTTTCTGTTTTCTGACACAAAGAACTTTGTGCTGAGGTTGCTGCAAAACTAAATGTATTTTTTAAAAGTGTCCATTCAAAAATAGTAAATAAACTTATTTGTTTCCTTTGAATCAGGAAGTGAAGCAAACTTTATGCTAAAAGTTCGTCCTCTAGAGAAATACCCTGTGGATCTTTATTATTTAGTTGATGTCTCAGCCTCTATGCACAACAATATAGAAAAGCTAAATTCCGTTGGATTTGCTTTATCTAAAAAGATGGAGAATATTTCTCTTGATTTTCGACTCGGATTTGGATCCTATGTGGATAAAACTGTGTCACCCTATATTAGCATTCATCCAGGTAGAATCCATAACCAATGCAGGTATGTAGTCTTTGTAACTATTCTATGATTCTATGATTCTATATTTGCTGTACTACTGAGAAATTACTTAAGTACACAAATATGCATTATGAGTATTTATTTTTAAAGCTCTTCAGAATCTGTCTGTGTTTCATTATACCTTGGTTCTCCAGCAAAGGTCCTAAGAAAATGATGAAAGTTATTATATAATGATTACTTCTGAAATACCTGGTGGGTGATTTCAGAAAAATTGTTTCTGTATCAGATAAAATGCGCCGGGTTGTTTTTTGGGGTTTGGTTTGGGGTTTTTTTTAACAAAACAAGCCAAATGACATGCTGCTTTGGTATATTTGAATATGTTTTGCATTTAATTCTATAATCTAATATTTTGTTCTTAGTTACTTTGGATATATGTTGCCTAGATTCATCACAAAGTTTTGTACTTCCTGAGTTAGGACTTCTGGTGTATGGTCATGTATTCATGAACTCTTTTCTGAAAGTGCCACTTCTGTCGATGTGATACAGTTTCTTTCAGCTCATTTAATGAACAAAAGCAATCCTCTGATCTAATTCCACCGTTGTAATATGAATGAACTCTCATTTTAAATAAGAAAGCTGTTCTGGCTTGCAGGTCTTTTTTCATCCAATCTCTTTTCTATTTTGCGTTCAAGACTTACATAAAGTGAGGGATCACTTCCAAAACCCATGGGAGAACAAGTCTATTCACAAGAAATTCAAATCTCTATAAACCATAATACTTGGAAAAGTGAATATTAACTGTTCGTACCTTCTTGCGTGTTGTTATCTTTCCTGGGAAGACATGATTCAAAGTTCTGTAAAGTCCATAGATCTTTTTTTATTTCAGTGGTGTTTGAATTGGGCATTAGGAGTGGAATTCATTAGGTAAATATAAATGTCTATGTATAAAGCAGTCATCTAGACTGCGTGGTGAGTGGAGATTAATTAGTAATTCTAGGAGATGATTCATTTTGCCTAAAAGCAGATGTCTATGGAAGTATTAATCCTTACAGTGCCAGTTTCTCTTCCTTGACTGTAAATTGAGTTGGGGGTGGGCAGGCTATAGTCTGGATGCCTACACTGCTTCTTCTGTGCTATAAAATCCACTGCTGTAAATGGGTCGCAGAGCAAGGACCCACATAAGCGCTGTGGCGCTAGCTTGCTCATTTCAAACTTCATACTTTCTCCCTTACGCATAATTTCAAACAGTATCATTTACAGCTAAGATGTTACTGAAAATGGAGTTACCAGGTAACTGTCACTAATCTCAACATTAATTTTATATACACTTACTGCTAGTAGATGTGAGAACTTACATTTTATTTTAGTTTTGATCTGGTCACCTGTGTGTTGATCTGTTAAAGCATCTTAATGCTGCAGTGTGAGAGCTCTTTCACAGGATAATGACAAGCAAAGCTGTATCACTAGATAGACATTCCAAAAGGGATTATAGATTCTCTGAGATCATACCATTGCTCACGTTGTGTTTCTTTTCATTCTAGACAGAAATGCTACATATGTACTGTCACTATATTAAGTTATATTATCTACATTTAGATAAATGCCAAAAGAATACATTTTTCATAGTAAATTAGAACTAATTCCTACTGAACTTAATTAATGTGGAGTTAGTCTTCTTTCTTTAAATATTTCTTCTTCTGTGCATATATGCACTATGTAAATTAGTAACAGGATTTTATAGGTTAATAGGGATTCAGTATTTACAATTCAAATGGAAAATACAGAATGTGTTAGACTTTCGCTTTGGTTTTTTTTTTTGTACAGTGATTACAATTTAGATTGTATGCCTCCTCACGGTTATATTCACGTGCTATCCCTGACTGACAATATAGCAGAATTCAGAAATGCAGTGAATAAACAAAAAATTTCTGGAAATATTGATACACCTGAAGGGGGTTTTGATGCGATGCTCCAAGCAGCTGTGTGCCAGGTAAGGAGCTTATTAACAGAAGACTAAATGATAGTTCAGATGTATACACACACACACATATATTTGTATATACTTAAACAGTGCTCAGTGTTCCTGGTGTCAAAATGTCAGTTCTAGGCCAGATAACAGTATGATTTCTTCCTCTTTTTCCATTATTTCCCCCTTAGCTATACATTTCTGTTTCCCACTGAAACTGAAAAAGGAGGGCATAAGGGAATATTTGTCAGTATTGGATAATGATGTTCTTCAAACTCTGGCTTTAAACAGCCTAACCAACATAGGATGGACAATGAAAGCAACTGCTTCTTGCTTGAAGAGTATTAATTTCAGTTCATTGCAAAATTAGTTTCAAAAATCGTTAAAGCCTTCCCTGTGTTCCTAAGTGAAATGTCAAAATAGCATTTAACATTTCTTCTGCTGAAAAATCTGTTTGAAAACTGAAGGATCAGTTACATATCTGCTTGTGTAGATGAGGAAAACAAATGCATTTCAATGTTATCTCAGCTTTTAAAGAATTTATCTTTAAAAACAATACAAAACAAGTAAAAATGAACTGTTGTATCTTGATAAAATTTCATCACCATCTCTCCCATGCAGGAAAGGATGGAAAAGATCTGCATCAGTAGTTCCCAGGGTATAAGAATATTAAATAATAAGAATTTGTTTCTTCTAAAGGGCTATTTTGCATGTTGTTTGTCTTCTATGCACAGTACTGCAATAACAGTTTTGAAAGTTGGCTGATTCATGGGTTTGCTAATTCTCTACTCTCTCTGTCCGCTTAAAGAAAGTAATTCAGCTCCTGTCCAGATCACAGGCTTAGTATGTTTCTCCTGTCTTGGGATGATGTCAGGACAATTCTTTTATCTTGTCCATCTTCACCTTATTTATTTTTTTTTTTTTATTTGAGCAGTAGAATGTGTCAAGGACAAAAAGTAACTTCAAACTATGCTAAAAATGAACAGTTTGGCCTAATTTTATTTTCAAATTTTGATGAGCTGTAGAACAGGTAAATAAAAGCCACTCTTCGTAGACACTGTGATCACAGCTGTTACAAAAAATCATTCTGGAGCTTTGGAAAAAATCCTTAAAATTCCGTGTTTGTCACTGGACACATTCCACACTTATGACATGTGAGCTCTAGAACATATGCTTCCGAAAACAACAGAATAGAAATATTTATGAGAATGGGGAGGTTTTCCTGCTAACTGAATTGTGAACCAAAATGGATGAGAACAATGTGTAATTCATAACAACCATCATGAACTATAATTTATATTAATGTGCACTTTATAACTTGCTCCATCTTGCTTTAACCAATATAGCCTTGTTGCAAGAGGTAGCAGGTTAAGACATGAAGCTCCTTTAAAGTTTTGTTTGCTGCGATGTGTGTAGGTAGGAGACCTGAGGTGATAAGGTGAAATGATGGGAGTCTTAGAACAAGAAGTTTCTGTGGTGCTGGAGGAGAATTTGGGCTTATTTTAGATACAAATTCCTTATAAATAAAATATGTCTTCTTTAGGGGAAACACTGTCTAGATTCATCTGAGGGAGGGTCATGCCTAACGAATTAGCTGGAAAAGACACCACACCCCTCTGTACTTATTATCCCTAAGAGACACTTAATCCCCATTCAGAGCTAGCAGGGAATGAGCCTGAGAAGGGAGCTAAATCCCTCTCTACAAAGCAAAGAAAGGAAGACAGAGAATAAGATGAAGCCTGGCTCAGTACGTGAACTGTATTGCTGATACGTGTTTCACATGAGATGAAAGATACCTGGCCATGTTAAGGGAAATGGTAGAGATGAGACAGAGTCATAGGATGGAGGAGCAAGAAAGGAGGAAAAGGGAGGAAAAGTGGAGTTAGTGAATAAGATGGAATAATTGAGAAAGGGAATAACAGAAAAGATTATGGAGTGATTTGTGTGTGCCTCTAAAGTCTGATGTAAAGCAGCCATTTATTTCCCTGCAAGAAATAAATGATAATGGAAATAGAAGTTGGCACCTAACCTAGTTTAGATATAAGCTTGCTTTTCTACCTTTTTCACATCACTAAATTCCTGAAACATATTAAATTCACCCTTGTGGATGACACTTTGTTATTAATCCCTTAAGGTGGTGGATAGATGTAGTATTTTGCTGCATGATAATGAATTTCTCAATTTGCAGGTGCATGAAGACACTCATACTCATTGATTTGTTGTTCATATGCAATGTCCTTTCTGGAAAGCTGTGTAAGAAAACAAAATTATAGAATGCTGAGAATATAAAGTAGATATGTATAAAGTAAAAATGGAAGAGGGAACCAAGCACCACTACTAATGAATGCATAGTCACTGTTCATAATGCTTTTTGGAGCACGGGGGATTTTACAAATGCAGTGCATTTGCATTTGTATGTAATAGTGACACACCTGATGTGGCAGCTGTTACCCAAGCCCACTGTGTAATGCATGACTTGCATATGTTTTGAGAGATCTTTCTAAAGAAAGAAAGATTTCAGAGCAAAGAAAGTGGTTAAGTGGATCACTGAGTACAATGGTAGTTTTCAGATGTAGGACATGGTACACATTTCCACAGAAAATGCTTTGTATAACCTGGCTTAAACTCGGTGCTGCTAAGCAATGTAGTATCTGAAACTAGACTTTCACATTCATTTTCCATGTTGTTATTTATTATTTTAGAAAATAAGTAGTTACTTATGCTTACTTTCTTTTCGTTTCAGAGCCATATTGGGTGGCGGAAAGAAGCAAAGCGACTGCTTCTTGTGATGACAGATCAAACTTCTCATCTGGCCCTTGATAGCAAATTAGCGGGGATTGTAATTCCCCATGATGGAAACTGTCATTTGAAAGATAACGTGTACATCAAAGCTACAAGTATGGTAAGGAATATATATATATGTCATAGGTTCTGCCTTCAGAGAAGCAGTGTAAAGCTACATAAAGGAGGGTTTAGATTGCTGTCAAAGCATTGCTCTTATTTCAGTTATCAGAATAGTATTTTTCCAGGTAGGCAAGTTGTGAAATAAAGAATCACCTGGAACTATTGTCATTCTTTTTGTCTGTGATAAAGTATTTTGGTGTCTGAGACAACAGTTCACAGCAGAGGAGGATATGTTACTGGTTTTGATGCGGCTTTTTTATTGCCATCTAATTAAAATCACACACAATTTGATAAAATACAAAAAGGAAATGCCCGGTGTGGTATTTTGCACAAAAAGCAGCTGGTAATGTGTAAGAATTACACAGTGCTGCTAATACTACAAAGGTAGTGGTCATGGTTTATGGTCACAGAGGCATAGTTGCATTGATTTTAAAGGCTTGGTAAGAGTAAAACAAGAGATGTCCAGCAACAATGAGTTAATTCAAACATGACAAGCTAGAAAATATTCTTGTGCCACAAAGCTTTGCAGTGGTAATGCAGCATTAAATACATTTGAATCTTATAGTATAAAGACAACATGTGCTAACATATACCTGTGCAAAAATACTGTAGCAAAATCATACCTCTTTAGCAAGTATTTTTAGCTTTCAAAATAAATTTTTCAAGAATTTATAAAGTAGTCATAAGTAATTGAAGAAAGGATTTTTTTCCATAAGATTTTTAGTATTTAATAGTTTTGCCTATTTGCTTAAAAAATTATGAATCATGTATATAAGAAAAATGAATCACTACTTAATTGCCATGTAATCAGCAGAAGGCAGAATTGCGAACTGTGGTATCATTGGAGCACATTACAGTTTTATTCTAACTACACTTACTTAAAGTTAATATAGCCTGCATTCAGCCCAAGCCAGCAACATGCTGGTGAAGGCATTGAGGGCTGTGTGTAAATTAGACTCAACCTGAATTTAAGCCCAGCAACTGATGCTTACAAGGATGGTGGGGCAGCAGGAAGCAACTGCCATATGGTGTGTGGTCATGAAATTTGGGAGGTTTCTGGGAATCAGTGGGTGTTCCAGGACTTTGCTGAGTGGAGGAGGGAGCTGAGCATGTGCTAACAGGAAAGTTGTTTGGATAGCCAATTATCTGATGTTCTTGCATTCATATACTCCCCCTGTCACCTTCTGGATATTCCCTCTCAGGGTTATTTTTTTCCCTCTAGCCAATATGTTCAGTTTCAGTAGTTTTAGAACAAGTCAGATCAAGGGTACTTGATACTTAAATGAAACATCATGAAAGGCAGCCAGGTTTTTAAAAAATAGGTCATATGACGTATTTTTTGCCCTCTTTTCTATATCAATGCAATTTTGTTATGCTATGCTAAATTCAAGAGCTATCTATAATCAGGTTTTCCTACCTTGGTTCTTAACTTCTGGTAGTCTTGAGAACATTTCCTTTTGGCATATTTTTGTCTCCTCCTTGTGCCAGTTAGGAAGACTTTGCTTTATTTATTTGCGTAAGCTTAGCCTTTACATCAGAAATGTTTCCAGTCACTTCTCTGCCTGTTTCTTTCTAACTTTTGCTAAGCAGTTGCATGGTGTCAGCAAACAAAGCATGAGACAGGAAAGAAATCTAGTCCATTTTAATTAGATCTGAGCTTGGTTAACTCCCTTTCTGAAATACTTAACATCTGTATTAGTTGTCTTCAGAGCTTAACACAGTGGGTTAAAATAATAAAATGAATGATGTAATTGGAATGAGAAAGATGATATAAAATACATTCACCTGAGCTGTAGTGGGAAGAGATAAGGTAAAAATATATAAAGTACAGCAAGATTTTCACAGCAAGCAAAGTGAGGCTCCACAAGTGACCAACAGTTCCTTATGTTATCTCTTTACATGCTTAAATTGAAAAAGATAAGCGTGGGTCTGTTGGTGTTTGGTTGGTTGGGGTTTTTTTTTAATATTGCTTCAAAAATAAAAAAAAAAATTTCTTTCTAACTTGAAGTCAGACTTTAATATGCTGCTAGCCAAGCTGGACACTTCAGTGAGTTAGAGCTGAAGAAAGTTCAGCCCTTGTAAGCAGACTAGGAAACTTGGGGATCCAGTCCCCACAACCCTTACACATCTATGCATGTCATCTCTTGACTTCAGTAAGCTTCATCTAAATAAGTTTTGGTTTCATGAGTACTTGGAAACCCATCTCTGATACTGCTGATCCCAGAGTTCTGCTATTAGTTGCCAAGATGTTGAGGGGCCCATCTGCTGGAATTCAGACATGTCTAGTCTCATGTGTTAAGGAAGACGACTGACTTATTTGACCACCATCTCATGATTCCTTGACACTGCCCCTGTCATTCACACACTAACAATGCAGATGGTGTTTACAGAATGTCTGGATTCACTCTGCCTTGTCCTGGGACCACTTGGTGTGTCTGTGATCTGCCAGCCAGCTGCACGTGGCCTTCAGGGTTGTGCAGCACGATGGAGGCCCTACCACTGTGCTCTGTGGTCCTGGAGAAGGAAGGAGGGCTTAATACTGTGTTGCAGGCTACTAAAAATGGCAGCAAAGCCACTGGTGCTGCAGTTCACCCACAACTGCTGTATAGTGGGAATGCATGCTCACTGGACCCTCATGAATGGCACACTCCCCAGTTGGAGCTGGAAGAAGGCCCTTTTATTGCTGCGTTACCTTCCTTTCATCATTTATCTTAAAGAATATAATCTCTTACTAAAGGGTGGAAAAGTTGAGAGAGGTGTGGACCCTGGCTAAGATCAAGCCACAGCAAGAACCTCCTTTGTTCTTCTATACAAGGCTCATTATAATAGTGCGGTATAATGGAAAATGGATTTTGCCCCCTTGCATAACTTTATCTCAGCTGTCTTGGCATTCAGATTACTGTTAGGAGAGCAGTTGACTTGCAGGGTGTCTTGGGTAACAAGTGATACTCTGGAGATAAATTAATTGTGCAGGGAAACAGAGTGTGTTTTTGTGAGAGAGAGACAATATGGGAGAGATGGTGAAAAATAATTAGGAAGAGAAAGACAGCAAGTATGTGAGGGCAAGAGGTTGAAGGACCTGACATCAGTGGAGGTGTTCAGATGAAATCTTTATAAGGGGAAACACAGGCCAAGTCCCCAGTCACTTCTCTATGTTTAGCCATGAATTTTAGGTGTTGAATTTACTTCTTGAGAAGTATTCACAGATATGTGATAAGTGGTGACTTTCATATACAGTTTGCTTTAGTGAACTGGAGCTGGAGGGATCTCAAATAGCCCAGGTGTGAGGTGTGCAAAGCCCAGTGGACCACACAAATGCCCTTGTGCTTCCCCAGATCTTCGATGAAGGCATAGGAACGCACCTCTTGCTCTCGAATCCATGTCAGGTCTCTCAATGAGAAGTGTAGAAGGGCAGGCCACTGGCACAGAATACGCCAGCATAGGTACCTCACCAAATAGATCAATGTCATTACTGCAAGAGACATGAAACTCATGCTACTGTCTTTAAGAACAAGTGTGGTTAAGAAAATGTAGCAGGTTATTGTGGTAAGGAGTAGAAGCATCACTCCTAAGGCAGGTGTTGGATATACAGAGAAGGAGAAAGTTGTCAGCTATAAGTAAGATACGTACAAAATACTGACACTGCTAGAACCTGACCCAGTGGCTGCATTTAGCTGATGCATCTGATCCCTGGTGCCAAAACACATTTCTGAGAAACAAGATTACTCATTAATTACTCGCCTTGCTGTTCCCAAAAGCACACTTAATCTCAGTGTGCTTATGTTGTACTTTCTCCCTGACTTTTTCACAAGAACCACCTATCATTCTTAGGGATCTTGTTCTAGATGGATCGTGGACAACGTCGTATTTCTTAAGCATCAAATTCAAACCAATGAAATAGTACTGTATGAGTTATTCCTCCCACTGTGCACTTCCTTGTAGAGCTGGCAACAGACAATGGCCTGTTACAGTCTGTGTGATCCCCTGGAACTTTTTTTGTCATGATATGTTTATTTGGTTGGTCCCACCATCTTTCATAAACAGGCCTAGCATTTCTCTGTACTTTTAGAAATAAGGATTGGGGTGGTTTTGGAATCCTGCATTGTGTCCTGTATTAGATATACGGGTTTTACCTACTAATCTGCAGTCTTCTCTTTTCTGTTATATTTTGCAGGAGCATCCATCTCTTGGGCAGCTCTCTGAAAAGTTGATTGACAATAACATCAATGTTATTTTTGCAGTTCAAGGAAGCCAGTTCCATTGGTATAAAGTAGGTTAGAAATGTGACTTCTTTTTCCAATTTTAAAAGCACAATAGTAATATTAAAAATTAAAACTCTGCATAAATTATTGTATTTTTCATAGGATCTATTACCTCTGTTGCCTGGTACTGTTGCAAGACAGATAGAATCACAAGCAGCAAATCTCAATGATTTGGTGGTAGAAGCCTATCAGGTATGATGAGAATGACGGTGTTGTATGCTGTATTTGTTCAGGGATTTTCACGTTTCATAAGCCTAAAGTTGGAATTTCCATGATCTTGGCTTCTGTCTGAAGTCCACAAGGATAAGTTCCCTACTTTTTTGAATGTCCAGGTTGGTGGGTGACACTATCCCACAATAGCTGTCAAATTCCCAGGCTGTCACAGTCTCAAAGCTAAGAGCTAGTACTTTTTCCTTTCTAAGGATACTCTTAAATGACCTCTTTGATTCTCTGCACCTGTTGCCATGTAAGTTCAAAAGAAATATCTATTTGAATTTGGGCATTCTTTAGTTACAGACCAGACATCACTGTCTATGCACCATATAAATTCAGTACAAAAAGATAGTGCAATGTCAAGAGAGTCTTACAGCATAATTCTTAGAACATGGGCAACAGGTGGGAATTCACAGGGAGGTAGTTTGAGTTAACAGTGCATATTGTGGAAAGCACAAAGCAGTGTGATGACTTGCAGTTTTGAGGCATGGCAGTGTGGAAGAGTTTTGATATGGCTTTGGGAGAGAACAATGGAAATGGCTCTTACCTGGAGTTCTCAACTGCAAGTAATAGTGTGGGAAAGAGAATGCAATAGTATGGGAAGAGCATAAAATCATTTTCCACAAATGATTGACAGGGAATAGCAGCTTGAAACTGGAAATTGGTATCCTGATAGTGAATGAAAGATTGTCTGGTAAGAGTAGGCATAAACAGCTTTGAAAATAAAGCCAAGTATGAATACTGTTAAGGTGTGCAAGTTACACAAACATGTGAGTTCCAACAGTTGAAAAATCAGTTACAAAGCTACATGCAAGGTATTACATTATTTGTAATTAGTTGGACGTCAGAGGCTGAAATTATATGTTGTACTAGGTTAACCATCTAAATCAGGCTATTTGCTTTCAGCAAATTGGCTATAACAACGAGCCCAGTCCCATGTCTGTTCCTAGTCAGTGGAGTGGGTTTGTGCATGTTTTTCTCACAGTCATGTTAGCAACATTGTGCAGAAGGTAAAGACATTCAAAAGCAGAGAATAGGTGTAATCAAATTGCAGAGAATTCCTCACTGATACTGTACTTTCTCTTAAAAAATCAAGAAATGTCATTTTGAATATGGAGGCTTGTAGGAAATTGCTGGCAAAAAAAGAATTGAAAATCATAGTCCTTTTGTATGCCACTTTTACACTGTGCATCCTAAACTGTATCCCAGTTTTTAGAGCACAGTGCAGGGCAAACATTCAAGGAGAGGAAACAAAAATTTACAAAATAATGACTTAGTTCAGTGGAAGATTCTGTGGGACTTTCCTGCTTCTACCACCCCCAGTTTGCTCTTGCCTTATTTTCATTTTTTAGACAGTATCTTCCTTCCCATCCTAAACTTTATTGGATTTTATACTTTGAGATTTTTATCATAGTTTTAGGGGCTTTTAGTATACAAACACACAGTGAACAGGGCTTGAATGTTTTGCTTTCTTGAAAGCAAAAGTGCTTACATAAGAAAATAAATTAAGTGTTGATGTTTGATGACAGTGGGCCTCTTGCACTCTTGTTCTAGGCAGGGAAACCTTAGGCTTAGTTGTGGAAAACCCTGGCTGAAAATCCCTAGAAAATCCGGCTAAAAAGCTAAAGATGAGTCACTAATTTTCAAAAAGTTACCAAGATAAACATATGTTCAGATCCATGTAATTAAATTTCCAGTTGTAGCAGTAAAAGTATCCTACTAAACTAATTTTTTTAAATACTAATATGCCAGGAATTTTAATAATCTCTCTGTGCAATTTTCAGCTTGTAGGTTTGTACAGAGTTTTGATGAATTTTTAAAAGGTCAAGAAGCAATATTCCTTCTTGGAAGGAAGTAGGATTATAGAGTATGCAGTAAATACAAGTTACAAAGTAGCTAGCTTTTTCATTATTTTATATCTCAGAAAGCCCTAATGGGAATCAACCAGTTGTTGACATGTATAGTTCTAGCTGACCCAAATAAATAAGTAATAATAATCCCAATGGCATCTAGATCACCCTAAGGTTTGTTCAGAGAAAAACTTTTCCAAGAAAGATGCAAAATATCAGAAGTTTAGAAAATGTCAAGTCAATTAGGAACCTTTTCTGCTGTATAACAATAGTTGTATGTATGTTTACTGTTTTATTTTAAATGTGTGGCTAAAAGGCAGTATAATCTTTCAGACAATAAACAGGTTTTGTTGCACATGGTTGTTAGAATAGATTTTCAAATTGCAAAAAATACAGTTTCAAAACCATTTTCGAAAAGCTGAAAGCGTTTTTATCTGGAAAACATAATGTTCTTCATCAGAATTACCAATTCACTGGTTATGTATTTTTGGAATGTAATCGGGTCTTTATATGGGAAACAATGCTTTAATTCATTCCTTTATTCACACAGAAAAGCTTTCTTCATTTTTAGTCAGTCATAGTAGTCGTACTTGGTGTTAGTCACTGATGCACATTATATGTTGAGATACAATGCAACTAAAACTTGTTTTCTGGTTACAGAAACTAATCTCTGAAGTGAAAATTCAAGTGGATAACCAGATCCAAGGACTTCATTTCAATATCACTGCAATCTGTCCTGATGGAAGTAAAAAAACTGCCATGGAAGGATGTAAAAATGTGGGATATGATGAAGAAGTATGTTGATAGTTCTTGTTCTTCAAGGAACTGGAATACTTATTTTTCTGTTTGGTTGGGTTTCAATGGTTTGAAATCTTCTAGGGATTTACTTAAACTGAAAATGGATTTGTGTGATTAATGATCACAGACTCTCTATTATTCTCTGGTTTTATTTTTCCTGAATCTTATTTTAATTCTCACTAATCTCATGGAACTAAGGCTCAAAGCTTTTCTTGAAAGCTAACGTCCATTAAAACTCTCCTTCTTTGTCCTCCACTGAGCACAATGGCCATGTTCATTGTGGTGAAATCTGGATGTAAAGACATTGAAAGATAATCACCCGGTGGAAAAAAATCACTGGAATTTGTGTTTCTTGGGTCTGTAGTAGACGCCACCTTTTCCTCTCCTTGCTTTAGCAGTCTTCATGCACAGTCAGGGTTGTGGATAATTAGTTTATTTTATAAATCAACTTAATAAAATTACTTAACCCCCCATTTGGATCAGTGCCACCTACTGAATGAAATGAATTGTAAAACTGGAGCATCATGTGCTGTGAAAACGAGGGGGAAGATGTCTGGCTAATGTAAAGAACATGGTTTTCTTCCCAGAACAACTTCTCTGTGCCTTGATATATTTATTTAATTGCTTGGGCGAGTAGAGTAATTCATTTAGCTTGCCAGGAAGATGTCTGTGTTTCTGGAGAGTAGGGTCAAGGAGTTCTTTCCTTCTTGACATGTACATACTTCTCAGCTGGTGTGATTTCACTTGTGTCTGTATGAGTAAAAATAGCAAAACAAATCAGTAGATTAAATGTGTGCATTTAAATACGTTCATTTAGATGGATTTTATGCTCTTGTGAATTTTGTCTGCATGACTTGCCACTGATTAGCTTCTACAGTTTAAAGGAGATTTGGTGTGTTTTTCTTCTTAAGTCATCTCTTCTCCAGTGTTGTTCCCTGTGCATGTCGTAAGAAATAAGGCTGGAATTTGTTCTGTTTAATGAAAAGAAAAATATTTATATCTGTTTCTTTTTAATAAACAGCCAAGCCAGTTGGTTGTAAAAGATTGCATGTGGTCCTGAACCTCGAGAGTTGTTGAAAAGGAGCTACCCTCAAGAGATCAATTTATTTTAACCGTAAATCTCCTTTCAGTATTTGTTTACAGGGAAAATGCTTTTCCTTCATTTTCACATTGCTTTCATTGTCTAATCCTTCTTCCTTCCTTTTCTTACCAAAACACAAAGTTTGTTATGTTCTGGAAGAATCCTATGGCCTCTTCAGGGTGCAAAATTAACTGGCTATTAGCAAGCGTTCATGGTGTTGCAATTACTTAGTCCCGATGTACTTAATCTTTCTACTGCTGTGTTCAGACCCATCAAATTTCACAACTCATATTCAAGACATGATTTGCCCTTCCCTCCCATCTGCCTGTCATTCCTCCGGTACTGTGTTGTACATGAAGATGATGTTTTCTATCAGGGCTCTGTGTTAAATTAAAAGCACATTCTCTAGCTGCAGCCTGTCCTCCCCTCGTGATACGCACCTGCTCTATGAATTCATTACTGAATAGCCACACTTCTGCCCCATAACCAAAGGGAAGAAGTCTTACACACTGAGAGCGTAGGCAACTGAGGGGTTGTGTGTGTAGTGCTGCATTTGAGAAACAAGAAGAAGAAAAGCAAAGGGTGAGACAAAGCCTGAGTTCCCCCTCAATGCAACATTAAGCGCAAGCTTCTGCACAGCATTCTTCTCCTGTTGTCCGTGTAGGCAGCCGCAGCCCAGCTTGCCACAAAGCCACCATTGTCCCCAAGGCCTCATCTGTTCTCGTGTGGGGGCGCAGCGGGAGGGGCAGACAGTGATGAGAAATGAATGGCCTTAGTCTTTGCGGATAGTTTCAACCTTGTATGTAATCCGTGCCTTAGGTTTTCTCTTTTTTTTGCTTGGAAGTCTTTGTTCTTCGGTAGTAAAGAGTAAAGGTATTTGCTCCTCTTGGTCTCCTTTCTGGCCTTTTCCTCTTGTTTATATTTTCTCTGTGAGAAGGTGAAGAAGAGTTGTTTTATGTCAGCAGGTTAAATAGCCTTATTGAGAATGTTCTGTCATAAGCCCAAAAACCCCCCAATTTTCAAATACAAAATCACTATCCAGTCAGAGCCATCAAAGAGTTTTGGTAGTGAGGCAAACTCTACGGCAGTCTCCTAACCACCAAAATTATCCAGGGTCCTGGAAAGCCACGGAGGCTGCTGCTGCAATGGGCAATACCAGGGTGAGGACCTGGGGCTTGGTGGTGATGGCCATGACACAGCCATGATCTAGGCACTGGGTCCACTCTGAAGCAGCACGTGGTCTGCGCAGGACCCCAAAAGCAGTAGGACTCTTTTGCACCATCCCCGTTGCAGGAATTGGGAAAAATAAGCTGCTGCTAAGGTGTGAGCCATTTCTGGGTTTTAGTAGGAATAGATAGGGCCATCCCAAAAACCTGTGGTTTCTATTTGCATAGACCATTTCTGCAGCAAGAACATTCATTATAGATTCTTTTTATAAAGAGTATCTGTTTCTGTTTGTGTGTTGTCTTGCTCAATCCAATCCCAATTCTCATCTGAGTATTTCTAAAATGTAGCAGAATGTACACATTAAATAATAACAGGAGGAGGATGATGGTAATTCTGTTACTATTTAACATGTATTAAACTTGTCTTCTGCAGCTGTGCTTTCTTAACATGAAAAGTAGACTGCTCTCAGTCTTACATTATTAGGATTTTAACTGTATTTGTGATGCCTATCATTACTAATGTATCATATTTGACAAATGGCCACTGTGTATTTTGCTATTATTAGCTAGTGCACATTTGTATACAGTGTAAGATTCTGCCTTATTTATGTGTTACAAATTTTATGCAATTTATAGGAAATAATAAGGGTGTAAAATCTGTCTTTCTTTCTTCTTAGGTACTTTTCAATGTATCAGTTACAATGAAAGGATGTGATACCACTGGAGGAAGACAATATGCAATTCTTAAACCTATTGGTTTCAATGAAACCGCCATTGTTAATGTGCAGAAAAGCTGTGCCTGTCAGTACGGAGACAGTGCAAGGCACAAAAGAGTGTGGGCTGATGAAACTTTTTCTGATGGTAAACAGACCCCTTGCAGTGACAATAACTGTAGCTTTAATAGAGATACGCTTCCTTCTGAGGGGTGCAGACAACACCAGGACCAGCCCATCTGCAGTGGTCAAGGAAATTGCATAGATGGAAAATGTTTCTGCTACAAAAACAAGCTAGGCAAGGTGTATGGCAAATACTGTGAAATGGATGATTTTTCCTGCCCATATCACCAGGGAAACTTATGTTCTGGTAAGGTGCCAATTTTATGTCTGTATTTTCTTGTTTTGGTTTGGTTTTGTTTTGTTTTCTGAAGCTTATATATATGATGGAGCTGAAAATAATGATGTAAAGCTATCAGGTACCAGAACTTTGTGTGCAGTATTAGTGTGTGAAATGTCCCTAACAGCCTGGTAGGAATTCTGGAATCCTAGGCTTTCTTTGCCACAGAATTATGCAGTGTCTTCTAAACTTCAGCCCTGCCTTTTAGGGGATTTATTGAGTTACTTTTAAGTTTAACTATTTTAAGATTTAAATCTCAAACTTCCTCAGAAGTAATGGTACTGATATCTTGGATAAAATTGTAACATTATTCCAGAAAGTAAGTTGATCTATTTCAGCCTGGTGAGAATATGAGATGCTAGGAGATTAGGAAGGAATCATAACTTCCAGATGAGGATCTGATTTTCTGACACCCTGAATCAGACTTGTGGAAGATACAGTGACACTTGATCTCAAATAACTGATAAGTATGGTAAAACTGTTTGGAAAAGGAGAGTGTAGGTGAAACATAAGCACAGAGAGTTGTTAGAAGTTCTTATTCTTTTTGTGGCCTACTTTGTTTTTTAAATAAAACGTGCAAATGAAAATTGCATATGAACAAAATAAAAAATATGTACTTTTAAATTAGTGTTACCAAGGGAAAATTGGATTGAATCAGTATCATTAATGCGTCTCTACTGGATTTTTTTTTCCCCTCAGAAATAATTAAACATTTTAAAATCTGTACTGCTGTTCTGCATCCTTTCGTTTCACTGTATATTGGCCAGTGATGAATTGAGGGACCAATTTTTTCATCCAGTTGGATAAACTGAGAGTGATACTATGGACTTCACTAAAGTTACTTTGGTTTTGCTCTGCTGGTGACTGTGAACTTTGCATAAAATGAAGAGTAATAATGTTACCTAATCCTTTAAATACTTCATTGCAACACAAAGTATTACATTTCATCTTCTTACTCTTCCTCCCACCCCACTTTGCAAATTTACTATTTCTTAGTCATAAGCAAACCTCCTAAATTTACGAGCTCCTAAAGCCTGAAATATGGTGTTCTGGTTGGCAGAGGAGGCAGGGAGATCTTTGTATAAGAGGTGTTGGACACTGTCACCTGTATGGACTCCTGCTGTAGAGTACCACAAGGGGAACCTGTTGCCCAGGGCCATGGCTGAGCAGCATGCCTCCCTGTGGGATGTTTTCCAGTGCAAAGCCTTGCTCTGGTATGTCCTGGGATACCCTTCCCCTCTCTGTTTTGCACAGCCCAGGTAAAAGATGGGGCAGCCTATACCTTGGCCTGACTCCAGGCCTGCTCCTGTCTGTTAGGTGGCACTGTCTCCCTACAGCTGCTCTGTGGATCCCTGGAGCACAAGAAGGGACATCACTGTCTGTGTGAAACTTAAGTACTGCTGAGGTGTAGTTAAGGAGACCTCATGAGGTTTCATAGACCTGTCTGTGCTTTATGTGATCTCTGTTTCTGTATTTCCTAAGGGTGCTCTCACATGCTCTAAAAATGTGGCTAAACATTATCAACATGTCGGTTGTACACCTGCCTAAATGTGCCACAGCATGGAAAACATGTATTTTACCCTAAAGTTCACACTGTTTTGCTTATAAAATTGTAAAGGCCACCAGAGGTTCTTACAGCCTTTGAATCCTTGAAGCTGTCTGGTTTAAGTTCTTATTAAATAACCTTCAGTGCATAAGCACAGCATATCTACCTGTCCAGCTCAGTCATCTGTCCTTCAGAAAGGTAGGAAACAGTGCTGTCATGCGTGCTTCTGAAAAGGGAAAAAAACCAACCTGGCATGTTCACATGAACTTGATACTCCTTTCTCCACTGAATCTTTCTGTTTATTTGATTTGAATGCTTTCTTGCTAAAGAGAAGCTTGTTTAGTTTGCCTGAAGATAGTTTTTCTAATCATTGTGTAATTTTTAATCCCCACTGCTTTGATCCAAGGCAACAGGGAAAAATTCTATTAAAAGGTTTTAAGGATGACATCAGGGTAGAAGCTTTTGCTCATCTTAACAACAAACAGCAACCATAAATATGTATCATGCTGGTAATTTCAGCCAAATCGTTAACTTAAAAATTAATTAGCAAACCAAGGTCTAAATTAGCTTTGTTTAACGTAAAGCACCAACAATATAAATGTATACATATAGAAATTGACTTCCTATGTTTTCATGAAAGCATATGACTCAAAGCTATTTGCTGTTGTAGGTAATGGTGAATGTGAAGCTGGTAAATGCAAATGCTTCACTGGCTGGGAAGGTGACCGTTGCCAGTGCTCATTACAATCAGCAAAGTACTGCTTGAATTCAAAGGGCCAGACTTGCAGTGGAAGAGGAAAATGTGTATGTGGAAAGTGTGAGTGCACAGATCCAAGAAGCTTTGGCCGTTTGTGTGAATATTGCCCTACTTGTAACAAAGCCTGTGAAGAAAACTGGTATGTTTCTTGTGCTAGATGAGACTTTTTAACTCTGGAGTGTTGCATCTAGAAATGTTTCTGCTTGGCTAGATGTGTGCTACATTTCTTACATATTTAGACTGTAGGAAATGGAAACAATTCATGCTTATGACTTTTCTTTATGTAACTGAAGGGTTCACACTGGCAATTAAGAGAATTGCATGTCTGTATCAGTGTTCACCAGTCTGTGTCCAATTTTCAGCTTTCTGAAGTCAAAGGAAGTGCTGGAGTTAAAGGAAGTGTGTCCTATGAATATTGTTTTTTCATGCATTTATTAAAAGATTGTTCTTCAAATGAGATCTTCTGGGAAGGAAATAAAGCCCGTGAATCTGGAGTTTTAAAAATGGACAGTAGATCCTATTCTTGAATGCCACCAAGTCCAGTTATACTCTCCAAATTTGTTTTTTATACATTCCTTGTGTTTCTCAGATGAAAAAAGGAGGTGTGAGTGTTGAACAAGAGCAGTAAGCGTGCATTATCACTGCCACTGATCAGCAGAGCAGAGCTGGTCTTACCCAGAGATCAACATTTTCTGCTACTCATACTCGGTTTTAAACAACTTAGTCTTTGCTGTGCTAAAGTATGTAATTTTTCCTTACCCATTAAAGAAAGGGACAAAATGAGCAGTCCAAGAAGAAGAGAAGCTTGACAAAGCTCTCAGTGGCTTTAAGCCAGCACCAATGAGTGGTGGGCCATGTCTGAAAAGGTGACTGCTAAAACTTCACTAGATAACAAGCATTTAGTCCCGCTGGCTTACACTTGTTCAAAGTCACTGTGAAATGTGTGCCTTTAATAAATTCAGAAGATGGCAGAGATTCCTCAAAAAGTCAGTCAGGGCTTTTTCAGGATAACTTGTGGTGTCCATCTTCAGCAAGGATATACAGTGAAAATGGTAGATGAAGACTGACAGCACTGCCTCACACTGTGCTGCTGACCCCCTGAACTGCCCAGCAGTGGGAACTTACATGGCTTTGTCTTAACATAGCATCCAAAAAAATACTAACAAAGCTGTGTTTCCTACACCTATCTCTACCCTTCAGTTCCAGCATGCATCTCAATGGTGTTTCCCCTGAAAAACATCACAAAATGCAGAGCAGAGGCCAGATGAAGGTGGCTCGAAGCCAAAGGCATGTTTTACTTTACAGTTTCTGTCCAGTTGGTTCAGAGAAGCATCACAGGGATAAAATGCTGAGGGAGGCATCACATTTCAGAAAGAAAGAAATAAATGTTGCAATGTTTTTACTAACAACAGGAAAGCATTATGTGCAAGCAATATGTCAGCCTGTTGATACCATCTCTGTACAAGGAGTGCAGAGAAAGACACAGGTTTTTAATTACATCTTTATTTTACAGGAATTGTGTTCAGTGCCATCATTCTAACAATGTGTCTCAAGCAAAACTTGACCAGTGCACAACCTCATGTGCTTACCTGCTGCATTATATTGACCAAACTTCAGGTATGTAACATTTTCTAGGTAATTTTAATGAGATGAAAATCTGTTGGGATTAATAATTGAATTTACCACTGTTACAATGTCTTTCAAAAGTGTGTCACAGTATCACAATAACAAAACAAGAAAGCGGGAAAAAGAAAAATCACTCATAGCTTCAGGGAAAGTAAAAGATAAATAATAACAGGAAATGTGATTGGCAAGCATTGCTAAATCAGATTTCCCAGCTCCTTGAGAAGTCACATCTAATAATAATGAATCCTGCTTGAGCAATGCTTAAAGAAATATTTATAAAAACCTGTTACGGCATATGTGTATTTTATTGCTTTGGATATGCTTACATTATTTGACATCACCAGAAATGAGAAGGAATGAAGTAGAATGCTTATCTCATGTTCAGTAATGTTTAAATAATCCTTTCGAGTATAAAAAACTTCACAGTTATGAGGGCTGTGGAAAAATAATTCTTTTTTTTTTATAAAATCTTAAAAGAGCTTAATAAGTCCACGCTGCAACAAAAATTCAGGTAAATGGTTACCCTTTGTTACTTCGCATAGTTGTACATCTTTTTATCTTGTGAGGAAACTGACTGTGAATACTTTTCTCAAAACTTTAAAATTAATTAAGAAAGCTTACTGTGTGAAAGAGGTCCACCAGTGAGGAGAGCACTGGACAAGGATTCAATAAACCACATTTTCTTTCATATTTTGCTGATCATCTCCACTGTAATCTTGTGATGGTTAAACTGTCTTGGCCCTGTGCATCTCTAAAGCTTCATCCTCACTATTTCAACTATGAACTCACGAGTTTACAGAGAATTAAAGGTGGCCAACATAATGAAGCCTGGATCTCAGTTCTGTAGATTTAAGGGATAATAGTTTCACTATTTTTCTACTGCAGGTTTTAATTGGAATTGCCTTTCTTGACATGCCCACTTTAAAAGCTTGTATATGGCAACTTTTCCCCTTCACTTCCCTTAAGTTATTTTCCCTTAACTTTTATCAGGCTAGTGCTACATTTATGTGACATTACTAGGCAATGGTAGGTATGCCTGTGTTTGAGGGATGTGCCTATTCCATATGTTAGGCTTTACACTTGTGTTTTCCTTTCATTGCAGAATGTTTCCCTGGACGAAGCTACTTTAGAGTCTTTTCCATAATCTTTATAGTTACCTTTCTGATCGGGTTGCTTGTTGTCCTTATCATCAGGCAAATAATTCTGCAGGGGAGTAGCAATAAAATTAAATCTTCAGCTGATTACAGAGTATCTGCAACAAAGAAGGTAATTGATTTCAGAACCATTATACTCAGTAATCTTTTTCTTGCGTATCAAAGTTAGCTAATCATTGACAAAAATTGTATCTTCTCCTTCAAGGATAAGATGTTTTTGCCTACTGTTTGTACAAGAACAGTAACATACAGACGTGACAAACCAGAGGAGATAAATATCGACATCAGCAAGTTACGATTAAATGAAACTTTCAAGTGTGAATTCTGAAGACAGTGTGTTTTCTGCAAATGTCTGTTTCCATCACACTCAACTTTTTTAAAGTTATCTTTTGTACTCCGTCGGAGTCGTGACTGTTGCCGTATGGTTTTGTGTCCTGCGATATTGAATACTGTAACAAAGTGACATGTAAACATATTCACGTAATGTGACTATGTTTGAAACTATAGCTGCTGTATTTTTTTAATGGTTTGTTTGATATTTTTTGAAAGAGAAATGTGCGTTACTACTGTTCAGGAACATTAGTGTTGATGTAGCACTTTAGCATATTCTAATTTATTTAGTTATGGCCTAGAATGTAGGTATGAACTGGTCTGACAAAGCACTGATCTCACTCTACATGTAGCTAGTACTGATGTGCTCTGTGGGAATGGACAAAAGCTGTGACTGAAATATTAACATTGCTGTATATTATAGCAATAGATGAAATTATTCAAATGCTCTTAAATAGAGTAAATGGTACTTTTATAGTTTTCTCAGTTGACAGATTCCACTGATTTGTCTGCTTTAGCCTCTTAGCTTTTCCTCATTACTTAATAAAAATGACTGGATTGAATGAGTTACTGGTGTGGGTTGTGTGTGTACACACACACACATGCATACACACACACACAGAGGTAAATTATATATATAGTTTTTTATATGTATGATTTCTCTTAAACATAATTTATATCTGGTAAAGAGTAATTTTTAGCTTTTTTTTTACTTCTTTCAACACAAAAACTTTTATACAAGTCTTAAGGTATTTGGAAACTAAGTGGCTATAGAAAGCGAGTGTTCTGTCCAACAACATAGTCTACATGATGATCACTGACTGCTGACTTCAGCTCTGGAGTCAGCAGCAGCTCCACTGCAAATAGATAAATTACACCAGAGCTGTGCTTGGTTTGCTAGCTACATGTCAGTGTTTTGCTAAATGAGAGCTTTGTTCTTTTTTGTATGATGTCAGACGTAAGTCTGATTTTACACACAGGCTCGTCTTTCTACGTAAATTAGTTGACAGAATTAGTTTTCGTGCATTCTGACATAACCACTTCCATTTTTGTGACTATGCATTTGTGACGTAAGAAATGTGTCCAATGTGATGTGGAAAAGAACCTGCAATTTGGAAGGAGGTGAGGAAAACAGGAGTCTTTTTTGTCAAGAGAACACGTTAATTGACTTCATAACTATGGGATCAAATTCTGCCTTCAGAAATGGGCAAAACTATTTTAAACACAGTGGGACCAATATAAGCTTATCTGAGAGCAGAATTTAATCTACAAGGTCAAGCAGGAGCGTTTTCTTACCCCTGAAACTGGCTACAGTGGTAGAAGACGAGTTATTGTACGCTAGTTGGAAGAGTCAGCCTGATTTATTAACTTTATGCTGCCACAACCCTATGAAAATCTGATCAACTAATGCACTAAAATCTTGCTGGCAAAAAGAAAAATCATCTCAGAAGACAGTACGCAGTGTATCATTTTAGCAACATTAATTACTGTTACTAAATATTGGACTGTACTTGTCATAGATAAGAGTTACAGAAACAAAGCAGGACCATTTTATATGCAGTTTGTAGAGATTAGTATATACTCGTATTTCTTATTCTGTATTTCTTCTGTAAATTCCCACTGAAATCTGAGGAGTACACATGTGAAAGGAAGGCAGGACACAGAACAAATCATAAGTGCTAGGAGAGTGTTCACAGTTTCGGGTCATGCATCAAGTGGAATTGAGAAAAATAATATAGAGACAATGGGCCTTGCATTAAATCAACATGAAATCTTTAGATCTTAAGGACTGGGAGGGGGGTTTAAATGTAAAATGGACTATTAAATATAGTAAAGCAGTCTTCAAAGTAGTCCCTGAGCTTTCTACCAAACAGGTAAATGTGTCTCATATAGAGAAAAGCAGTTTTCTTACACTGACCCCAATTTTAATGACAGCTTAATTGTAATATCTTTATTATAGATTAATTCTGTAATCTATCATGTATACCTTAAACTTTCATTTTCTTGTAAAACCTGTAGAACCATTTTCCTCCTGTGTAAATTAACAGATTCCAAACAATTGGTTTCAGTGGGATAAAGAGAGAAGATTGATAAAGGTTGCTATTGCCCTTGTCACAATTGATTAGTATTTTTAAGTGAGTAGGAAACAATTTCTGGTCATCAGTTTCACTTAACAAAACAAACAATAAAACAATTGAAAGCTTAGTGGAGAATATAATGAGAGATGTGATTGTGTTCTTTAAACAGTGTGGTAATTTATTTTAACAAAAACAATTCCTTAGAATGTATTTCCCATAATGGCTTTTAAAGCATTTACTGAAGTGATAGCTAATGTTTTTTCTTTAGATACTGCTTTTCACTGTTAGAGGGAGTTAAGTTATATGGGTAGGGGAGAATGAATCTTTGTGCAACAAAGACTTAAGTTGTAACACCCATCTTCCAGATAACATCAAACGGATACTACTTTTCTTCTGTAGCACTCAGTTGGCATTGCAGTGCTGCCTGTAAAGGGGCACGGCCTCTATTTCCTTTCAGACACCTGCCTGAATGTTTGAAATGCTCTGGTCAAATAGAGCAGGCTTACAGGACGAATGGCATTGTAAACTGGCTGCTGTCCTGAGGTTAAAAAGAAAGTATGTTAACAAAAAAGATAAAAAAACAAAGCTTTTTTGCATCTCCCTCATGTTTTTGTGGAGTAGGCTAGTGAAAAAGAATAAGCTGATGTTAATGTGACAGGTCAAGGCTTTTAGAAGGCCCACGGGGAGCTTATACAGAGCAGGATCCTTGGGAGGAGGCTTTGTTTCTAGGGGTGGAATCTATCCATGAGAAACTCTGGCTTTGCTTGGTACTTGTTTCCCTCTGCCTTTGACCATGTTTTTCAGAAGAGCTGCTGCAGGAGATGAATAGCCCAACAAAAGCCTCACTATTTAGGGAGCTGTGTTCCCTCAGCACATGACCTTAAATGAGAAAGCAGCCTGTAATTCACAAGGAATTTCCTCAGCGATTGCAGAAGGACTCTGCTTCCTATAGTGCTTAATATGGGAGATATTAAAGACTAATTAGCTCATATTCGTTTTCAATGTATTGTGCATCAAAGATGCTCATAAAAATAGGGGGGAAAATATCTAGCCTCAGAATAGAATGTTCCAAACTTCTTAAATAAAACTTCTTATACTGGGCTTCTTCAAAAAATTAAAAAAGTCAAATAATTCAACTGCATGCCTATTCCCAAAAATATATCAGCAGATACTCTTGCATCTTATCATTGTTTCTGGGAGTTATTTTTAGATTTGCTCCCACAAACGGAGCATATGCATGATTTTTCACAGCAGATTTGTTAATGCTCATTAATAAACATTAATGAAATGTTAATTTGTTAATGCCAAAATCCATATGTATATTTTTCAGATTCTGATCCCACCTTTTTTACCTTTAACTGGTTATTTTTCTAACAGTTCAGAAATGATGTTTCTTATGCAATTAAAAAGCATACATTTTACTTTTGATTTTTTTTAAAGACTTTACAATGAAGAAATACCAGGAATTGATTATTTCCAAGCATTATGAGTACATTAATAACACTGCTACAGAAGTGTGTGGGAAAATAGCTGTTTCATCCAGAAAACGTGCACATGGTATGCGAGGAATTTTCATTGTGCCCAGCTGAAATTCCCTTACGTTCACAAGGAATGTTGAAAGAGAACCTTAAAAAGGAAGGACATTTGTATAGGCATAGTTTACATTTTATCCATTATTTTCAACTGGATTTATTTTTCCTCTCTGTAGTGTCATGAAAACCTGCTATGTAAGGTATTCTTCAGACAGCAGTGGAAAAAATTATTTTCCCAGTCTGACCATATATAATATTTGTTTCCTGCTTAGTGTGCTTACCTAAATGTACATCTGTTGCAAGCCATGGGAGTGAATGTCTGAAGCAGCTTCCGGCAACTCGTAGTCCTAAAGTGGCCATAAGACCTAGTGATGCCCAAGGCAGAGAGATGCAAGGGCACTGCTGCCTATGCAAGGCCTTGAAGAGGGATGTCATCCTCAGCAGCATGATGCATCCTGCAGTTCCCGCAGCATCCCTGCAGAGGTGGTGCTCTGAGAACACACTTCTCCATTTGCCAGAGCAGGAAGATTCTCAAAGTAGGTTGTCTCGGCAGAGGTGGTGCAGTTTGTGTCCTAGGTGCTTTGCCACACTTTGGAGCTTCAATATGTGCAGCCCACAGCCCTCAGCACTGCAGGCTTTTGTATCTTTACTCATCAAAAAATGCTTGCACATAACCTAGCAAGGGACTGCCTGTGCCAGTAAGTACTGTAAACCTGGGTGCTGAAGGCTGACATTAAAGCTTCTGGGAAGTCTTTGGGTATCTGCCCATTGACTTCTCACCAGCCCCAGGATATCCTCCGGCCAAGCTCAAGGAATGTAAGCTGTAGCTGGAAAAAGGCACTTCTCATAGAGGCATTTGTGCTGAGTCAGTGCTGGGTGACACTTCCTCTGCTCTGTGAGTGAAGCATAGTGCCAGTGCTCTGGCTGTTTGCAAGAGAAGGGAAAGATTTATTTGCTAAGCAGAAATGGAGCAGTAGTTGAGAAGAACACTACTTTTTAATAATGATCTTGACACTGCTCCAGGGCACAGATATCTCATGGATCTTGCAGAGAACTGAAATTCATGGAGAGGGAAAAAAGGTTAAAATTAGCCAGCGTGAATGCATTTCTATAGCGAGCCAAACCAGTGGAGTTTCACTGGGTGCAAGCCAGCTCAGAATGGTTGCCCTTTCTGGGGTGGAGAGTGGAAGGGAGAAAAAGAAAAAAACTAAAATTAGTAGATTCTTAAGCTTTACAAATGCTGCTCTGGGTTGTGTGTTCTCTTTATTTCCTTTTATGCACACAGTTTTATAAAAAAAAGTACCAACTTAGTAAAATAAAAATAAAATATCTGGCATTTGTTAAAATAATGGCTTCTACCCAAATCCCAGCATCCTGATACCTGTATTGTATTTGGGCTGTTTCAGTTACATTTTGAAGGGACATGTTGAAAGAGGAAAGATTCTTTTGGGAAGGCATTAGTGTTGGATGAATTCACTGTGCTAACATCTTCTTCACTTTTATCTACTACTGCTTCAAAAAATAAAGCTACTTTTAAATGTCTTATTTAGCAATGCTGTGACAGCTATTAATAATACTACAGTTTTTAACTTTCTATTTAACATATACTACCTTTTGTAAAAAAAGTATATACAGATAAATAATGTTTCTAGAGTTTATGCATAGAGAATGTTAGTAAGGGAAGAGGTTTTAAATAAATTTATAACTTCTTACTG